GTCAGTTGTGAGTATATCATTTTAGAGAAATGTCACTGATGGGTCAAGAGCTTCTACAGATGTCAATAAAGCCCCAGAGCAATTTTTGCTTTTGGAATTGCCACACCTCCTCAAGAAACACTTATATTCATTTAAAATAAAAAAAACAAAATGGCACTTCCAGTCATAAAAAGTAATACTAAGGGTTGTTTTATTTTCTGTGCTTTTCTGTATTTCTTAGATTTTACTCATCTCTACAAAGCTTGCATTGCTATCATTCCGTAGCAGTCAGTATACGATATTGTCATATAACCAAGTCTTGGAACGGAAACAGTGTAAGATTTCATCGTATAATAGCCCTTATAGAATGAAATTCATAAATCCCATGTTTATTATATAAAAAAGTTACACTTCTTTAACTTTTTTGTTTTTGGCTAGATGGAAGTTAAACTTATTATTTTCCAATTGCTTAAAAGAACTTTTACTACATAAACTGTGATCATATATGGATAAGAGAATGATCGAGTTTGCACCATGACGATACAGACAGTAGTGACCTTTCTTCTCCATTCTTATTGTAGTTGGTGCCCCTGCAGCAATTTTTAGGGTAACTCATGCCTCCTTGGTGTGTGGAAAACAGGAAGATCTTCTTGAAGGTTGTAATGAGATGTGGCAAATGTTTCACAGATAAATCACTCCTATTTGTTCTGGCCACTCCATACGGGGAGAATCAGACAATGACTTGGGTAGAATCTGGCAGTGTAACCTGGGATTCATTTAAGCTTGTGAACTCTGAGGAAATGGATAAGGTGATCTGTGGTGTGAGTTCTGCCACTTGTAGGACTGATACGTGCTCCACCTCATGCACACCTCTAGGATGTATTGGAGGTGGTGCAAAAAGTTAGATCTTACACCAACTTGCTGAGGGAGCTTTACCTCGCAGAGAGTATTATATGCCCCCTTCCTGCATGTAGCCAGTGTTACAATTACCACCTGCTTCAATCTCCCCTTCTTAGGGCAGATTGTTGAGACAGTGGTGAGGCTTCAACTCCAGACGTTCTAGAGGAAACAGATGATCTAGACTCTTTCATGGGACAGAAACCACATTGGTTGCTCTGGTGGATGGCCTGGGTCCAGCCTGGATGAAGGGAGTGCATGGCTACTAGTTGTATTTAACCTCTTGAATGGCCTTTGATACTGTTGACCATCGGTATCCTTCACACCATCTATGAAGTTGGGCGTGAAAGGGACTATTATTTTACTATGGTTCTGCTCCTTCCTGAGTGGACACTACCAGTCCATCCTGTTGAGGGAAGGAGACCATCTAGGTGGTAACTCACTTGTGGAATGCTGCAAAGTTCATCTCTATCTCCCCTATTATTTAACATTGACATGAAACCACTGGGGTTGGTTATCAGTTGGTTCAGTGTGCAGAATCATCAAAATGATGATGATACCTAACTGTACATTGTGACCCTGGGCTAGGCTGGGAGACAATCCTGATCTTGGATCTGGAGGCTATTAGGGTCTGGATGGGAGAAAATAAGCTGAAACTGAATCCCTGTAAGATGGAGGTGCTGTTTGTTCAAAACCATCTTGATACTTGCCTGATTCAATGGTGTGGAGGCAGTTCCCCTGAAGAAGCAGCTCCATGACACAGGATCTTTCAGAACTTACAGCTGCTAATAGATAGTCATGTGGAATCCATGGGAAGGGAGACTTTGCTGCGCTGTAGCCAGGTTGCATGGAGCAGGATGACCCAGTAATGGTTATCCATGCCCTCATCATTTCTCAAATTTTCTACTGCAGTACTCTACATGGGGCTGCCTTTGAAGAGTAGTCAGAAGGTGCAATTGGACAGAACGCAGCAGCCTGCCTAGTCATGGGTGAGAGGCACCAGCGCTACATAGCATTGATTTTGAAAGTGCTGTGTTTGCTTCTAGTAGGATTCTGAGTACAATTCAAAGGGCTTGATTTAACCTATAAAGCCATTGGTATCTGCAGGACTGTATACTTCAGCTGGAACTGACTCATCCAGGATGTTCATCCCAAATGGGGATGCTAAGAGTGCTAAGGGAGAGGGCTAGAGCACCCTGCTTCTTATAAGTTAGGCCCTACTCCCTAGAATATGGTAATGTACTTTTGAGGATCTAAATGGAGCTTCTTTAGCAGTCATTCAGAGAGCAGTGAAAACTCAGCTTTAATTAGGTCTTGGTGGGATGGTTTGGGATGTCTGCTGGGTTTGCCATCTTACTTTTTTTCCCCCTTTGGTTCTAGTTTGGCTGTTGCTGTTTCCTATTATATTATTTTTTATATTTTTATATTGTGTGGTGTATTGTGAGCCACCTGGACACTTTGGAACGAGGTGGCATCAAATAAAATGAATGAATGAATGAATGAATGAATGAATGAATGAATGAATGAATGAATGAATGAGTGTTGAGTAGTAATAGAAGTCACTGTTTGGATGGGAGGTTGTTGAGATGATGTCATCTTTTACTATTGTTTCCGTGGTTTTATGTCAGTTTTTTATACACTGCCAGTGGAGTCAGTGTTATAAAAATGCTGTTACAATAATCAATAAATGTATTATTTATAAAATGCCACAGAAAAACACTTCTAAAACTTTTCTTTTAAATATGCTATATATTTCAGATAAAGCTGTTTGGAAATCTGAATATTTTTGAGGGTGAAAGGAGCTTAGGTAGCTCCAGATGGTATCATCCAACTCCATAATTATATTTTCCCCTGCTTGCTCATATTCCCTATTCCTACTGGCAGGTCCTTGCTGGCATAATTTTTTCATAATTGTGTTATGGTCTTCTTCCTCAGCAAGAAATCACGCAGCGGTAGAAATTTTATTTACCTTAGAAATGTAACAGTTTGGAACACTAGCAGTATTTTCTTTCTGTCAATCGGTTCAGAAATGCTAGCAGCCAATCAGGTTTGGCTACATCATGGGGTCATAAGTCAGATTTTGAGAGAGGGGATAGTAGGGAGAAAGGATATCTGGCTGCAGCTACCACCAGAACAGTTGAAGGTGATATAGATGGGGTTAGTGAAGACGCTCTTGCAGCTTTTCTACCAAAGAATCACCCTAAAAAGCAGAGACCTTTTTCAGCATAGTCTCTGAAATGAGAGACATGTTTTGGCCACGCCGATGTTTTTAAAATATATTTTTGTCCTAAGATGTAATAGCTATAATTTAGTTATCCTGTCTGTTTTCTTTTATATTTTCAGGTTAGTGATGTTATAAAATTTTGTTTTGAGGCATATGAAAATAATTGGCATTAGCACAGTGTTTCTAGACTGATATTTGGAGTTCTCTGGTACTTTCAAGGAAAAGATTAGCATGAGCAACAAGCTTCTTTGAAAACCATTGTCCATTTTTTTTTAGCGTTATTTGTGTTGTCCAAAAGAAAGTGACCTTACTCAACAGGCATGCTTACTATCCCACAAAGAGTTTAAAATGTGACTTAGAAAATACAGGTAGTCCCCAGGTTAAAAGCTCCTGGTTTACAGATGAGCCATAGTTAAGAACGGAGCCTACTGTAGCAAAATTTGAGTTAAATACACAATGATTCAAGTCAAATACACAATGGTTCAAGTTAATTACACAATACTACTTATTGCAATAATACTGTTCCAACTTACATATAAATTCGACTTAAAGACAGACCTTGGGAACAGAACTTGTTCTTAAACTGGGAACTACCTGTATTCCAAATATTCTAGCTACCACAAATATTCCAAATAAGAATAAGAAGGTGATGATTTTCAGAGTTTGGAAATTAAATTTGGTTTGGAGATTTGTTTCATATTTGTGATGCATCTGAATATTCTTACATACAGTGGAAACAGAACATTACTCCAGGACGGGTTTATTGTAATGTATATTGATTTTGTGCTGTCATGGCTGCTGATGTATGGGAGATAAATAGAACCTGTGTAGTTGCGCACACTGCCCTTGTTCCCCTCAAGTTGATGTTATTTGTGTTCATATTTTTTTTAGCATTACCACTGATATCTCTTCTGTTAATTTCATTTCACTGAACCTAAACATTGTAATAAATTATAAATATCCAATCTAATTCCCACACTGAAGTTTTTGTCCCATGTTTAATGATCTATTGTAAGATGTCAGAACTGAAAGAGAATTCAGGATATGACCATTTAAATACCTTATTAGCCCATTACTGGAAGTTGGTTGGCAAAGTCTTCTGCATTGATTCAGCTTATTTACTAATGTAAGAATTCAGACCAACTCTGTGCCTAACTTTTGGTTTGAGGTATTTAACCTGCAGAGGGGAAACACAGATATTTTGTCCCTGATTCCATCTCCTGTTTGTGTTGATTCTGTTCAGAGGTCTGTTAGAGTCAGACAGGCAGTTTTCCTGGGGAAAAGCAAATTAAGAAACATTGCACCCTTCAGATTTAATTTCTGGTAGCCATTTTTCTTTTCTGAGATTCAGTACAAGTCCCAAACAACTTTGCTCTGATGGCAAGAGAAACTTTACGTGTCTGTCTGTAGTGTGTATAGGGCTTAGGGGAGAGAGCCGCTGAGTCATAGCAACACATTGTACATGCCAGAGAGAAAATACTTGAACCTATCTGATACTGCCCATTCCTTGTTTCTCTTCCTGGACTGAAATACTGTCCTTAGCAGAAGATGACTCTCTAACTGAGTCCCTAATCTATAAAGAATCCTTGATTTGGGATGTGTCTATACAATATAGGAGGGATGCCTGTGTGGTTTGTGATGAATGGCTTTCCCTTTCATGAATCTCTCTGTCATTCTGTCTGTCTATCGTAGAGGAAATTTGCCTGCACTCAGCAGAAAATGGAAATGGTCAAAGCCCCAAAGTGCCCTTATATATGTATTTAGGAACTTGCAGAAATGCTGAACCTAGAGAAAAAGCGAAGGGAAATTGCTTGCTTGCAGACCATTAACCTTCTTGGGATTCCCCATCCCATCCCACTCTTCCCCCTCTTCCTCCTTTTCTGGCTCTCTTCCTGGACAGCAACCACTTGAACGGAAAGACAGCCAAAACAGCTCTCAGCACAGCGTCTCCAGCCACCACAGCACACACACGGCTTCACCTGTTCATAGCACTCAGGTGCTTCCCGACTACCCTGTTCCTGAAACACCAGCTACAGACCAGCCAGACAACGTGGGGCAGAAGAAGCCAGATCCATTCAAAATCTGGGCCCAGTCCAGGAGCATGTATGAAAGCCGACGTGAGTATGCAATGAGATGTTATTATGTTAATGGCAGCTTTAGACAGCAGCATCTATTCATTATTGCAACTCTGACTTGAGAACGGTATTTGCTTGGACTGGGAAGAATAAATATGCCTTTGATTGCATTAGTGTGATATCTGAGCGAGTGATGCTGGCTGTGGCTAGAAATGGGTGGAGAAGGGAAACAATACAATGGGGAGATCGGCAAATTATCTGTAATTGGAAGAACATTGATTACTCGCAACAGGTAGATTTACTGCTTAATTATGAGCAATAGCAGGCAAATATTTTCAGTATTAAGATTTTTTTAATGCCTTTGTTTACTTCTCTTTCTCTAAAAAAGTCTGTTTCTAAAAGCAGATATATTGAGCAGATTGTCCAGATGCTTTTCCAAGAAAGAGAAAATTGGGCACCCTTCACTGTTTGTAGCTAATCTCTACAAAGACTTATGCTCTAAAGCCTTGATCCTGCAAAGGTTTTCATTAAGGAATTAGTTGAAATTGAACATCACAGTAGTATGCTTAAACAAACTTTAGGTAGGATCATCAGACGCTTGTCTGTTCAATTATTCCATTTTTTTTTTCATTTGTCATAAGGTTTTCATTAAGGAATTAGTTGAAATTGAACATCACAGTAGTATGCTTAAACAAACTTTAGGTAGGATCATCAGACGCTTGTCTGTTCAATTATTCCATTTTTTTTTTCATTTGTCATTTTAACATTTCCCAGTTAGCTATTTGAAGTTTAAAGGTTTAAAACCAAATGTGTTGTGGTGCTAAATTAAAAAAGGTACAGGTACATGGCTGAGTGAATTTCTGCCAAGCCATGCTTGTCTTTATTATTATGTACTGTTCCAGCAATGCAGAGAACAAATAGATACAGTAAGCAGCTTTTATTTCAGTTATTAATAGATTCAGTCCACAAATAATTCAATAGGGGGTTGATTTGACTCCAAAAGATTTTATTTCTTTATTATTCTGATTGGGTTTGTTTGTTTTTTGTATTTCTGTTTTTTTACCTCTCTATATCTTTTATTGATGAATTATTTTATGATGAGATTGTTAGCCACCTGGAGCATTTTTGGGATAGAGTGGGATACAAATAAAGTAAATAAATAATAAGTAATAAAACATTTAAAAATGGGTTCCAGTGACTCCACTTTCCCTTCTAAATGTGGATTTTTAAAACTTGCATCTTTTAGAGCATCAGTTATCTTTTAAGAGTCACTTAGGGATAAAGCAGCTTTAAAGCTACCCACATAAAAAATGCTATTTGTCATGTGGACTTGGGATTTTGCATTTTCTGTAGTGAGCTGAATGGACTTAGAGTAAAATCAGTGTTCAATGTATTGCATGGAGGGTGGGAAAAGATATGGTGGCGGAGGCTTTGGGGCTGAAACAGTGCCAAAGCCTCTTATGTTTGGCTGTTCCTGTCTTATTACTCATGTCTGTTCCAGGGTATGTCAGAGAGTATTTTCTCCATACATTCAATTCTAAATAGAATAACAAGCTTGTACACTAGCCTTTTAGAGATGGGTAGATGTCTGAAGGCTAAGATCTAGACCCAAAGTCCCTGCTGCATAGCATCCTTTCCTCCAAAGAGGATGAATATAGTATTCTGAGCTTAAAACTACATCTTTCATTAAACAAATATCTGCCATTAAACATTAGAAGAGTTACTTCTGTGTTCCAATTCTGGAAATCTGGGATAAAAAATATTTTCAACATATCACTTGCCCATTGATTGCCCTGGAACTATAAAGCCTGCCTACACCCAAGTGGGGAGTTCATCTTTCCTTTGTGTATCCAACACACTAGTAGCAGCTCCCCCTCCCCCCAAAATGCTCAACTGTTTTTAGAGTAGAAAACAGGTAAGCATTCCTTTCTGATGACCAGAAGACCCAGGACCAAGGTTAAATCCTACCTCCTAGGAAGAACATCATGGCCAGGGGAGGCCACCTGATCTATGTAACTTAGGCCAGAAAAGGAGCAGACGCAGGGACCATGTTTTGCCCCTTCCCATCCTATAAAACAGTAACAAGAATCCCAGTTGCCAAACAACCACACCAGCAAAGGAAAATCTGCCCTACCCAGTTTGTGTAAAATGCTTCTTTGCGACTTACCATTTCCTTCTAGATTTGAAGAAATGATTTCCTTCCTACCCATTTTCTTCAGTTCCTCCTTCTCTTGTGTGACTTGTCTTTTTTTAGCTTAGAAAACTGGTAGCAGGGCCTGGCCACACATTTTTTTGGTGACAATGACTCAGGGGAGGCAGCAATTGACTGAAAAACTAGGAATGTAATCCTATGTGATATTGAGGAAATTCATTACTGGGATGTTCTGAATCCAATATAATTCTAATGCATATTACAAGAGGAAACTATCCTCTATTATTTTGGGGGTATCAGTTATGCATTTAATGTAAACGTGTAGCTTTGACTAGGGTTTTTTTTTTGTTTTTTTTTTGCACTCCCATCATGCTACTTCCATTACATGGAGTGGTTGCCTCCTGTTCTTCCCCCAAATCATCCTTGCAGTAATATTCCCCCATCACTATTTATTACCAGCTAAACTGTTTATTAGAAATAGTTAATTAATAATTAGAATAAGCTCAACAGTTTCAGCTACAATCTGTTCTCCCCAACATCCATGGGTGTATATATACTATTATACTCTCCACGTGTGCGTGTGTGTGATTTCTCAACTCCTCCTTCTACATATTTAGGCAAGACAAGTTGCATGCATTTTAGGAGTACCAGAGGGACATACCTCTATTCTGCTTTGTCTTGAGAAACAGGAATAAAAGCTGTAGCTGTTTGTTTATAATGCTTTACTTCACTTTCCATAGATCCTTCCCTGTTTTTCTTACCTAGCTTCATCATTCAGATAATCATATCTCTTTACACTTGCTGATTCTACCTCATTGTGTTTGGAGAGAGAACTGTCCTTTTCAGGCTTGTGCAATGAACTGCAGCAACCATACATCTGTGTGTCCTATATTAATTTTTTTCCAAAATAATCCTTCTTGTAGAAGAGAATGAGTCAGATACCAGCTCAAACCCAGCCTTGTAGACTAGCGGCAATCAGGAAAGAATAGCATTCACTGCTGTTCTTTCCATTCATGGGGGTGTGTGCAGATGAACAGTGGGAATAAATTTGGAATAACTTGAGAGCAGAAGGAAATTTGAAGGTACAACAGAGCATTGAGGAGACTGAGAATCAGCAGCAGCAGAATCCCATCACCTGGCCAAATCTTATGATGCCTGCTTTCGGATTTGCTCTTTCCTTTGCAGGAATATTTAGGTTAATGGTGTGCCAAAATCTGCAGTTCCTCAGTTTTCTTCCCTATTAAAGAGACTTCTGTTTCTCAACCTTATTTTCAAAGGGCTTAACAATTTCTTTCAAATTTCTCCTAGTGTTTTTGTTTTGTTTGTTTTGGGATGAGGGGTTTTCTTTATTGCTGGAGGTGGCAGCAAATGTGCTGCTATGTTGTTGTTACCTGCTCTATATCTTTCAATTCCTTGAAGACTTCCCTGGATGCTCACACTTCCCATTCAGAACAAAAACAAGAATAAAAAAACAAGGGAGGCATTTCGTCATGGTGTTTCTCCTTAGAATGTAATGGAAGCAGAGGAAGTCAGGGTGAGCACAGCTCCTGGGGGGTATAAGAATATAGTGAAAGAGAGAACATTTGTGTCTTTACCAGTTGTTAGATCATTAAGTGCAACCCAATTCCACCCATAAAAGAAAAAAAAAAGATTTTGAAAGAAATTTCAAAATCAAATTCTCTTTCAAGAAAATAATGCATACTGATATAAAAAATGCAAGAGAATTTTCCTGGACATCAGTACTTCAGAGACTAGTAGAAGGATCAAAAGGGATTTCTCATTGTAATATTGTTCCACGTGAGTTTAACAAAAGATGCTGGTAGTGCTATCAGTTGTACGACAACTGACACTTGTATAGAGTTTACTCTCATGCACATTTTAAAGCTCTCTCTCTTTATACACACACACACACACACACACACATACATATTTAATGTAATAACATGTAGTGCTTTTTACAAACGAGGTAAGTTAATTAATCAGAACCAGTTTGGAACATTCTAAATTTTAAGACAGACTTTGGAAGGTTCAAATTCCTTGAGACATTAATTTACTGTTATTTCAATTTTACTATTAATTACTGTTTAAAGTGTCTTTTACCAACTGATCATTGTGAAATTTAAATCTATGAGCAGAATTATTCTTTATTTGAAAATATTTTTTATTTCAACAAGTAGCATATGAACAAACATTGACAATAAAAACAAACATAATAAAGAACATTACTGAATATTAGTGAGCTTGTAAGTGAACTAGAAGAGAGAAAAACCCTATATATTTTAAGCCTGATTGATTATGTGCTGTCAAGTTGGTGTTGACTCTTTGTGACCACATAGATTTTCTCCATGGCGCTCTGTCCCTAACCTGGTCCTTCAGGTCTTCCAATGGTGCACCCAGCACATAATAATAATAACAATAACAATAATAATAATCATCATCATCCCAGTAGTTTGATAAATAATGTTACTGTTTTTCGGCTTTTAGACAATAAATACTATGTTTCTTCTTATTTTGTTGTGCCAGCCATTTGGCCTGTTTTGGCCTGGGAAGAACAAATATTTGCCCATCAGAGATCACACTTTTGTTTTCTTTTAACTTTTCTCTGAAGACTTTGTGATGTGTTGTCATTTATATTTGATATATTTTTTCCAGTTTGGCTAGTTTTATTGTTTATGGTTTGGTTTTTGGAATGGAAAAGAGACCTATCACATATGGTCCAGTTTGGAAAACAGAAAAATTATGACCGTTGTAATTTGAAGGTAGAGTTTTGGGGGCTCTGGGGTCACAAAAAGATCTGAGGGGCAGCTGACAACAAACCACTCAGTTTGATCCACCCCAGAAATGCAAATTGGAGTGGACAACAATTGCTTGTAAGACTGACCTTTTGTAG